CTGCCATTGAGTTGGTCTGTCAAGCTGTCAAGCTGGGTTTAGTTGATCTGTATGCCCTACTGTAGTGCTCTGTTGTGTTAAATAGAAGGTCTGAGGGTTGAAGCTATCTGCTAGCCTACTAATAGTGTTGCTTGATCTACTAGTCTGCTAATAGTCCTGGTCTTACTCTGCCTTTCAGTACAAGCTGGCTGCTTATGGTTGTGTTGTAACTATTTTGAAGCTATTTTTTGGGTTTGTTTGTGCCCAACAGTGGCTATTGTTTGTTTGTTTGTGCCCAGCTGTGGCTTTTGCTTTGTTTGTTGGTTTCTCACGAACTGGAGTTTGGAGCTTGAACTAGCTCCAAGCTCCTCTTTATTAATGTATATTATCATACTTTGTATATTTTCATTAATGAAGATTTATTTTGTCGATCAAAAAAAAAAAAAAAAAAAAAAAAAAAAACAGATTGCTTTTGAAAATAGTTTAATTAAACTTTTGGGCTTTTAGTGTTATGGATTGAGATATACATACATTTTTATTGTTTATTGTTTATTATGATTGTAGGATTGGTTATTTAAATTATACAAGTAATTAAACAAAATAATTTTGTCGAACTTGTAAGTTTAATGTATTTTTTAGGGTCGGCCCTAAGATTTGTGGGGCTTAAGGCGAACTATGAAAATGGGGCCCTTCTAATATATTTTTTTTTAATAAAAAATTTATGCATAAAATGATAAATATCCACAAATTTTTTATTTAAGTATACTTGAACATATAATCATTAAAATTATAAACAAAAATTTACTTTCATATATTTAAATAGGAAGAAATCAATACAATGACTCAAAAATATTAAAAACTGGTTTTGTTGTTTTATAGTTTAGCAATATCCAGTTTACAATTAACCCAACGATCACTTAAATACTACTCTTCTTGCATTTTTAGCTGCAAAATCACTAATTAAGTTTGTATAATCTAATTTATCTACCAAATCCTTTTCAATAGACAATATAGCTAATCTATTCAATCTTTCTTGTGACATTGTTGATCGAAGGTAGGATTTGATCAATTTTAACTTTGAAAAACTTCTTTCTCCAGAGGCAACGGTAACTGGAATAGTCAATAATATTCTATACGCAATCCAGGCATTTGGAAAACAACCATCCATCAATTTCAAATAATTCATCACCTCACTTGGCCTATTGATTTCTTTTGGCAAAATTTCTTTGAAGACTTTCAACTCATAAAATAAATCTCTCCCATCAACATCCATACGTCCATCATGTTTCAAAAAATCTTCAAGATTAGCGCAATAAGTCTTTAAGCACTCATCATTGGTAGAATTTAACTTCTTCAAATCAAACAAAAATCCAAAAGTTTCTTCATATATTTGAAATTGTTCAAATCTACTCTTAAGTGAAGAAAGAGCTTGATCTATTATATATATGAAATAATTAACTCTAAAGGATTCTTCAGCTGATTGTGCAACCTCTTCACTAACATTCTCATCAAAATGTTTCTTTCTATGAATGACACGTCTTTCACGAAATGTAGGTTCAATCTCCATTTCAATTGCAACTTCTTTAGCTTCAATCATGGCCTCTAAAAATCCAGTTTCTCTATACTTTTCAAGAAATGTAATGAGTCCTTTTAATTGATGTATAGCAACATCAATATGCATGTCTTCAACTTGAAATGTCTTGCTAACAGAATTAGCAGCAAACAACAGATTGTGCCAGATAATCATGCCAAGCAAAAACTCAATGTTCTCAATTTCAGATGTAACTAACGATTGAGCTTCATACTTTGTATTGGGCTCATTAGCTTCTTTTTTCAACTGAATTAAAGCATCTCTAATTTGTGGAGCTTGGTACCGTATAGCTTTAACACTTTCAATACGACTTTCCCAACGAGTTTGTGATAATGGCTTAAGTGTGAGACCTTCCACATTGTCTTTGAAAATTTTTCACCTCTTTGTAGAAGATGAAAACAACACATATATGCGTTTTACCACTCTAAAAAAATAGATAGCTTTGGAACAAGAGGTAGCCATATCACAAAGGGCAAGATTAAGACTATAACACACATGGTGTGTAGAATGCTCTTAGATTTATTTCAAGTACTCTTTTTTATACACCTTTGTGTCTCCCTTTCATATTAGAGTCATTATCATATCCTTTCCCTCTTATATCACCAATATCAAGCTGAAGTATGTGCAATGCCTCTCTAAGTACATTAAAAAGTCCCAACCCCGATATATCAACCACCTTTAAAAATTCTACAAAGAATTCTTCTACCTTCACCAGACTAGTTGAAACATCTACACATCTTATCACAAGAGACATTTGTTCTTCATGACTAACATCTGGAGTACAATCAAGAATAATTGAAAAATATTTTGCTTTTTTTAATCTTGCCACAATCGTACTCTTGATCTCACTTGCTAACATCTGTATCAATTCATTTTGGATTTTGTGGCCAAGATAATGGTAATGAATTTCACTCCTTTGAATACGTTGAATGTGCTCTTGCATTACTAGATCAAATTTAGCAAGCATTTCAATTAAGCTTAAAAAGATTCCATATCTTTCTTAATAAATCTTCTCATTATCTCCACGAAAATCTAAATTATCTTGAGCAAGAGTGATCACAATAGCAATTATCCTTAATAACACTTGTCTCTAGTGTTTCCTCTCTTTGTTGATTTGTCCTTGAATACTTCTATCAATTGCTTCATTCTTCTTCAATCTACTTTCCAATTCAATCCATTTGCTCATGCAAATAAAGTGCTCATTACTAGTTTCATGACTTCTAAGCCTGTTGCCCATATTCTTCCAATCTTTCAATCCATCAGTAGTCAAATGAATATTGTTCCTATCTTGCTTAAACAACTTGCAACAAAAGCAAAACACTTTGTCTGAAGCATCTGAATATACTAGCCACTTCCTATCCTGCTTCTCTCCATTTTGTAACTGCCGCATGTAAAATGTAGAAGAAAAATACCTATTTTTGTCATCTAGGGGAAAATTCACACCATTACCTCTTATATGACCTCTTTCAACTAATAAATCTCTTAAATTTTGATCAATCTTGTCCCAATTACTAGGGTCATAAATGTTTAGAGGTCCACATTCAACATTGACGTCTTCATTCTCACTAGATTCTACATTCCCCAAATCTTCATTCTCATTCTCATTCTCATTCTCATTCATATGTTCACTAGGTTGTTCAATCACCAAATCATCATTCTCATTATTATTCACACAATGAGTAGGTTCTTCAATTACCAAATCTTCATCATCATTGTCATTTGAACCCGAAATATTTATTTGTTTTTTGGTACCAAAATATTTATCAAGTGCTCCCGATTGAGATTGAATTAATTGTTCTACTTTCATCCTCTTCATTCTCTTTTCATTTTCAGAACTATACTTCCGAGGAAACAAGGCTATAATCACAAATACTTCAATCCACAAATCACAAACACTTCAATCCACAAATCACAAACACTTCAAATCAATCCACAAATCACAAACACTTCAATCCACAAATCACAAACACTGCAAATCAATCCGCAAATCACAATTACTTTAATCCACAAATCACAATCCACTAATCTGATAGCAAATCAATTATAAAAAAACAATTTAATGAAACAAAATTAGGGCAAAAAATTTATTCAATTAAAACTGATAAATACCTAGGTAAAAAAATTAGGGCTAAATTATTTATTCCACTAAAATCTAATGGATAAAGAAGGTAAAAAAAAAATTAGGGCAAATTTATTATTCCACTGACTGATAGAGAAAGAACGTAGAAAAAAAAAATTATGGCAACTTTATTTAATAAAATCTGATAGTGAGGGAGAGGACTTACCATGAGAGAGAATGTGTGTGAGAGAGAGTGAGTCGCCGGAGGAGTGTGTGAAAGAGAGAGAGTGAGTCGCTCACAACAATGTTGTGCTTTGCTTCTGCCTTGCCTTGAACTCGGTACACATTGTCGTCTTCATTTCATTATTTCGTTAAAGAGAGAGAGATTGAAAGCAAAACCAGTGCACTGAAGTGAAAGTGATGTTGTATATAGTGTATGTATGGTTTGGGTTAGGCCCAAACACTTCTTCTGTTTTTGTTTTTTTTTATTTTTTATATGTTTTCATTTTAATAAATATGGGCCAAACATATTTATAAATAAATATGGACTAAATTTTACATGGGCCCAATAAAACATTTTGAGACCCTTTAAATTGATCTTTAAAAAAAAAAAAAAGATTGAGCCTATAACAATTTATTAAATTTGGAAATCCTATTTTTGAGTCAAAATTTGGGGCTTGAGGCACAAGCCTTACCTGCTTTGGGTCAGCCCAAATCTCAACGCAAGTTTGAGTAATTTACCTAAATATTTATTCTTAAATTATTTTAACAATGAATGTTCTTCCGTTAATTTGGAAGATGTTCTGATATGGATGGAGGAGGTTCCCCCTTCCTTATTGCATCTTGTGAGCTCTGAGGTTGCTGGTCTTTCGGTTTGATATTTTTCTGTCTAGCCTATATCAATCTAAAAAAAATAATAATGAATGTTCTTCCATTCTCACTCCCACTCACGAATCAGTTTCTTAAAATTTGACTCCCTATCCTCATCAAGTTTTCAACAATTTAAAATCAACGAAAATTTTAGACCACACCACAATATAGACTATACGAACTTCATTAATAATGTAAATAAAAAAAAATTGTGTTTGATTTGAAGAGTTTTCACCGTTCAATTTTATCATAATTGTGAACCAATTGAAATCAATTGAAAACCAAACATGCTAATCAAATGATTAAAAATTGTTTCATCATAATGTTCTAATTTTTTATAAACTCATGAATCTCAAAGAAACCAGTCATATGATCGACCTTGATTTTGCCATGCATCGATGTATAACAGCTATTCATAGAAAGAGAAATTAAAAAGGAACTAAATTCTTGAATCTTCAACTTGTATTTTGAGAGATTCTAAGTCAAGAGAGAAAGATAGTCTTAAGTCTTTAACCTTTCTCCTTATTCACCCTTATTTGATCAATAGGTTCATTAATACTAAACAACAATTTCAACAAGATATACATGCAAAATAAGCTTTGGAAAAAAGATCTACAGAAATCGATCAAAAAAATTAGACACAAATCTCTTATATGAAATGGATCTAACACTTTTAAGATCCCACTTCTATATAAGAAAATTGTGTCATGCTCTGTGATTAATTTCTGTATTTTTAATAGAACAAATAAGCTTTTTCTCCTATATAGCCACCCTAACATTGTGTTCAAGAAACAATGGATGACCCGACATGGACATTAAAATTGGGAATCACCGGCGGAGGACTTGCCGGATCGCAGTGGTCACCTTGATCGAAGGAGATGAGTGTTGGATTGTAGTATTCAACAATGTTACTATGTTCCTTAAATTTCAGACCCTTTGATTTCGAAGGTGATGGTTCTTTCATGATAGAGCCACATTGTCTAGGTTGTGTTTGGTAGAAAACCTTTGAAACCACTAACTCTCCATCTCTCTCGTCTTCGTTGTTGCCAAGGTGGTACTGATGCATAACCCAGTTTGTTTTCTCTGGTTTTCTTTGTTTTCCATAGTTGGTGTAGAGAACGAGTATCTTCTTATGACCTTTCACTTTGCCATTAATGAAAACAGGCCTTGTCTTGCCTGTTTTGTGCCAACGAGTCTCGTTGCCATCTATGTCTGTGTGTACTTTTCTTCGCTTTCTTGTTCCGGTGGTGTATGCTTTGGATGGCCTGTGGAAGAAATGTCGGATTAACCCATCTTTGCTTACTCCTGCATGATAACAACAATAAGAATGGAGTCTTTCAATGGTTTGATCATACAATTGATAATTTTTTTTATTCTGTTTGGAGATGCAAGGTAACCAACGGTCTAATTTTATTTTGTGATAATATAAATTTTTGCGGAAAAGAAAAAAAAAAATCATTAAAATTGCTCTCATGATTCTTTTTTAAAAGATAAATATAATAAAATGAAAAAATTACGATTATGAGATCAATCAATATTTTTTTTGTAAATGATATATATATGTGGAGGGCCTTAGGGAAAAAAAATACAAAAAAAATAGAACCCTTAGCCCAAAAATATGGTCAAGTTTATACTTGTACTTGGGAGAAGTTCAAAACATATAAATTTTATATAAAAATTTATTTTTATATTATTATTTATTATTACCCATAGAAAAATTATTTACAATAGAATTTGAATACAAATTTTTTTATTCAGAATGATGTGATAATAACATTTTTATAATTATGAGCTATAATAATAAAAATTTTGACTTAAAATATGATGTGACAGTAACATTTTTATAATTATGAGCTATAATAATAAATATTTTCACTTAAAATATGAAATTAAGAAATTCTCACAATCATGTATGAAATTTCAAATAATGATTTTTAATTTTTCCAAAAGTATATAAACTGAGGCATGGCTCGTCTATGATTTACAAAAAGCAATAAAATAGAAACCATGGAAGATCTCATTTTCATTTTCCCTCCTTTATGGTACACGATCTACCCAAAAAAATGATTAAAAAAAGAAGAAAAGAAAGATGAAAACCAAGAAAAGTGTGACATGTCAAATTTTTGAAACCCCATAATGAAACCTATGAACCTACGAACCTACGTAGCTTCCAACAATTCAAGCCGGAAAATTCTTATTCTTACAAAAAAATATATATATATGTATATATATATTATTATAAAAAATAATGTAACAGTGAATTTCAAAAAAATAACTCCCTTTCATAGCCTTAACCAATTAAAAATCATCAATTCTTTAAATCCTAAGGAGAGAGAATATGAAGATTAGTAAATGATTTGAGATCTTGATCCTTTTCATTACAATCGTATGAATTTATCATGATTTCAAATTAAAAAATAAAAATAAATAAAAAAAAAGCTATAAAAAAAAAAAAGTTACTTCACTCATTGGGATGATTTTTTCATTGTCATTAACGTAATGAAAATCTTCTATTACAATCATGTAATTTGATTTGTTACCAAAAATAATAAAAAAAATTGGAGACAGAAAATTCTAATTTTGCCTTAATTTTGAAAGTGATAAAATTAATACATAGCATGACATTCTGTAATTATTTTGTATACAATCCTTTATTTCTATATAGCATTACTCATTCATTATTGCTCATGTTTATTCTGCAAACCCTAAAGAATGATTATGATAGATATTTTACCCACAAGTCAAATATATAGATCTTGGACAATTAGATAACTCAATAAATAATTGCAAATTAGGAATTCACCAGGTAACCTCTCTGGGTGGGTGTAGCAAATTCCATCCTCTCCTTCAAGTGTAGGGATGAACTCATCAATTAGAGGATGAAGCTTATTATGAGGAGCATCCAACCATGCCTTCGCCTCCAAATGCTCAAGAAGTTCTTGATCACTCGGATCAAACTTCACTCCCGCAGGTAACCCCGGTAGATCATGAATTCCAGTCTGTTCATACAATTAAATTTAAATTCTCATAACAAATTGAACCATTAATTAAAAACACAAAATAAAAAACCAAAAATTAAAAATGTACCTTTTCTTGACATTTGATCTGATGACCACATGAAGGACAGCTTTTAGTTTTAGTTCTTCGAATGCATTCGTGTTTTCCGGCAATAACTGTGTTGTCTGTAGATGGTTGTGATCTTCTCACAATCGCCGGCTCATCGCTACAGTCACTGCACCAAGTCATTTCTTCTGTTTCACTCTTATGCCCATCCCACGGTGGATCTTTCTTATTCTTGTACCACTCCAAATCAAAAGAAAATTAAGAGAGACAAAGGGATAAAGAATAAAAGGGAACCAAAAAAAAAAGCAATTTGTCTCTTCTAATGCATGTTATCCCTCAAGCCAATTCTTCACCTGGGTTGGGAAGGTATTGAATTCTCCTTACACTTTTCAGTCCTTGTTCTTACAAGAATTGAGAGGGGGAGAGAGAGAGAGAGAGAATATCTGAGATTGGAAAGAAGGGAAGATTTGTACAAATATAATTGGTTCCAAAGAAGGGAAGGGGAAAAGGATTGGGGGTTTCTTGGATCTCACGTAATGTTATGCTTATTATAGAGGGAATAAGTGTTGTTGGATCGTTTTTACGCTGTCTAAAGGTATCCTTGAGATGATATAATAACACTGAATTTTTATAAATTAAATTTTTAATAAGAACAAGTAAAGATGAAGATGGAAAATAGTATTGAGTGGAGATGAAGTAATCCACTGTTTGACCATACAGAGAGAGAGAGAGAGAGAGAGAGAGAGAGAAGAGGGATTTCAGTTCTGGTGTCACCCTAGAGTGCACACGAAGAAAGAAGTTTTAAGCAAAAGGAGCAAAAAAATAACGGAAAAAGAAGAGAGTTTATAACTCAATTTCTTCCGGTAGACTTCTCACGTGTCACAAGAAACCTCTGCCTCACTCTCCTCTCTAGAAATTATTACATTAAGTCGGAATGAATAATATCAGGGATCATGAAAAAAAATATCATGAAATATTTTATGAATAATTTTTTTTCATTCTTTAATTAATGTATAGTGTTTTCTTGTATATGTAGTTTAACGATGGAGAATCTTTCATGATTATTTTTATAATATTTATTTTATGATACGTAGCATTACTCAATGGGAATGCGGATAAATGATAATTACATATATATATATACATATATAAAATAATGTGTAGCTAACATCTATTTCAAATGTTATTTGAGTCATAATTAAAAGGGTAAATTACAAAAACACCATTTGAAATTTAATTACTTAAAATATGAATTATTTTATGTGATTTAGAAAATTATAAATACCTCTATATCATAATTTTTTATTTAACAAAATTAATTGAAAAAGTAAAATTTCTAACTGTTCACCTAAACAATAATAAAATTATCTAAATTATTAATTGAAATAAAATTTTAACATTATTAAAAACGGTTAATTAACTTGATAATTTATTAATAAAATGACATATTTGCTATGAAATTAGAAACCTTAGGAGGCATAATGTAATTTCTAGAACTATAGAAGATAATTTGTAATTTAAGTAAATATCAGGGGATATGTTTGTAATTTATCCTAATTAAAATACATATGAACATTTATGTTTTTGTGTTTTAATTTTGTACATGTAAGAGTATCCAATGATTATTCTTTTTTTTATATTAAATTTGAGTAAAGATTTTGGTTAAAAGTTTCGTCTGATACCAAGCGTTCCAACGATAAATTTTTAATTTTCATCAAACAATGGGTCGATCGAGAGAACAATAAGGAGGATGTCCAGACAATCAATCAGCTTGGTGTAAATTTTCTTCAAATTTTTTTCAATCCGGTCATCCACCCGGTTGACCGACCGATCATCCATTAGGTCATCCACCAATGGTCACCTGCGAGATTTAATGAAAGTTTAAACTCTCCTTTGATTTGATGGAAAAAGTATGATTCCCTTCATTTGATACCAATTTGATGAAACGGTTAGAACACAGTTTTCACTAAATTTTCATCAAATTTAAATTTGATAAAAGATTTGAATCTAGTTGGAGATAGTCTAACACTAGCTTGTCTGTTATTAGAAGGAATTGTTTGGTATAATTTATTATAAATGGTTTGATTTTCTTTCTAGGCTAAAAAATTACAAAAAGGCAAAAAAAATTAAAAGTCAACAATCACAAAAAATCAAAAAAATATTTGTCATTTCAAAATTAAAAAGTCAAAATAGCCAAAAAAAAAATCAAACAAACAAAAAAATCCTCTGTTAAAAAGATATCAAGAAAATTAATTAAAAAAGTTATTGACAAACAACTGGAGTATTTTTATATAATGCATTCGTAATTCAACAGTCATCATAGAGCAAGGACATTGATGATTACGGAACAACTGACAAGCCACCAGATCGAAGATAAATATTCAGATAATTTTGGACAATTACAACAATGAAAAGGGGTGGCTTATAAAGCATTTGGCGGTCGCTTTTTTGTTGGTTTATTTTCATCTTTAATGAATTTATTATAAAAAGAAAAATTTCAAAATCTTTAAGACTCTAGATTTTACTTAAAATTGACAAGACGAATCGAAAAATTAAAAATTCTTTAAAAAGTTTTAAAAAGACAAAAATAAACAAAAAAAAATTCAGTCCTAAGATCTTGAGGTTATGGCCATCTTGAGAACCTAACCTAATGCAAAGCTTTTAAAATATGTTGATAATTAGCAGCTTATTTATTATGTGAAATGAGCTTCTTTCTATAATTTTCAATTTATAGGTCTAACGTGATTGGAAGGCGATGAAAAGATAGTGACACAGCAAAATACGCAAGAGAACAAGATATCATTTTAATAAATGAAAAGGTCTCCAATCTACAAGAAAGATAGAACTTTAAATGCACAAAAAAAGAATGGAAGAAGAAAAAAAAAAGAAATTCCAAATATTACTGACAAGAAAATTGTCTCACCTTCAAACTTACATAAGTATTTATAAACAATCTAGTCTCAGAAAACAAGCAAATGAGAATTAAGAAAATATCCAACTAAAACGTAAATCTTGAACGAGTTGTTCTACATCACATGCTGTGAAGTTTGAATAAAGATACCTTACCAAAATTAATATGGTGTATGATAGCAACCGACAGAGAAATTTGTAATATAGCCTCCCCAGTTCAACCTTGTACTTAATTCCAAAGTTGTCATGTTGATAACTTAACTACTACTGACTAATACCTTTCACCAACATCAAGGTCTGGTACACTAATACTTTCTCAAAATGAGTATTTTTTTTTTTTATCTGAAAAAAATAAATTTTATTGATGAAATAAATAAGTACAAAGTATAAAATAAATTACATCAATAAATAAACGAGGAGTGCAAAAGTATCACAATGAACTAAATCATTCCAACTAAGTTGACACCAAAAAGCACATCCTATACTAGCACCCCAGAATTAGCGAGAGACCAGCCATTCATCTATGACTGACCAACCCGCACCATGCCCTCAAAATGTGTAGTTGTATCACCAACATGTCTAGCATACTAGAGACATATTTTGATAATCAGGTATCAAGGGACTTTGAAGTTCAAGATGGGACAAATCTCAAAGTGAGTCAATACCTTAAATTTTATTCTCAAATTTTTACTGCTCATTCAACCCTTTGAAATTTGTATTCATTTTGAAGAGATATAATTTGCACAAAGTATCCAAGAGGATAGTATATGTTATTAGTACATCTACAAAGTACTGTAATTATTTGATAATTATTCAATAATCTCAAATCATTATGTGACATTTTTCCTCCCTAATGAGTTAATGATGTATTGACAAACTTTACAAGTTAGATATGGACTGAGGCAAAAAAAAAAAAAGTCACTCTTCCCTTTCCTTATTCTTCCATATTTTTTATTTTATTTTATTCAAATTCAAGATCGACAGTCTAAAAAGTGATAAAATTTAAGAATTTAGTACCAAGTTCATGGTAATCTGGAGTCACAGTTACAAAACCAGACATAAACAGTTGGGTTCAATCCCAAAATCTCTATAGAAAATTCCAGGAGCTAACAAAGCAGCAATGGTACCCAATTTCTTTTATACCAATTGTTAGTAATCTGAGCAGTGTTCGTGGCTTAGAGAGTCCACGTGAAAACCATCAGCTATCGACTTTGATATCAATTGTTTGGTTCTAATGTAAAATCTCTTTAATCAATTGTTACGAATCTTGAAAATCAACAATGTAGCTGCCTCAATTCTTTTGGGAAAGTAGCTGAGAAATCCATCTTGTGCCATTGGCCATGGTGGATGTAGACTAGGTTGACATTACTGTAGACTGGGTTGACATGACTTAGGAGTTGTTTGGAATGACCTAAATAGATGTACTTTTTGTCTTTTTACGAAAAAATGTGTAGAAAAGTAGAGAGGTGATGTGATGAAAAAAAAATAAAAAGAAGAATTATTTGGGAGTTCCCAAACTTGACCTTAATAAAAGATTTTGTCTATTCAAACTTAACCCGAACATCAAGCCCTATAACTAGTCCAAAACCCAACCCTAGAGTCTATATAAGGTCAAGTTTGGCAAGTTCAAAATAAGCTAAAAAGTAAAAAAGCTACTCAAAAAGTTAAAAAATTAACACTATTCAACAAAGTCAACAATTACGGCTGCACAACTCCCAATTCTAATTTTCTCTTACAAACCAATTTTTACAATTTTTTATTACACATTTTTCCATAAAAAGTCAAAAAGTTAACCCGAACATCTATATTTTTTTCCTCAATTTTTTAGTTCAAAAAGACAAAAAATACACTTATTTAGGACACACCAAACAACTCCTAAATCTCACGCTCATCCATTGGACTAGCACTATTTAGGGGTTGTTTGGGGTGTCCTAAATAAGTATACTCTTTGTCTTTTTGAACTAAAAAATTAAGGAAGAAAATATAAGGGCTTGTTTGGTTTGATTTTGGGAGATGAGTTTGGGAGATAAAAAGTACGAAAAGTTGTTTGGTTTGGTTTTTTTGGAAAGATGTTTTGGAAAATTATTTTGAGAGAGAGTTTTGGAAAAAGTGATTGATTTGATGTGTATGAGAGAGAGATTTGTTTGAAAAACTTGTTTGGTTTACAAGTTTTGGGAAATTTTTTTAGAAAAATTTGTTTGGTTTGAGTTTTTCTGAAAACTCATTTGTAGAGAAATTTTCCCAAAAATTTTTGGGAAATTCAAACCAAACAAACCCTAAATGTTTTGGTTAACTTTTTGACTTTTTATGAAAAAATGTATAATAAAAAATTGTAAAAATTAATTTGTAGAAGAAAATTAAGATTGAGAGTTGTGTAACCGTAATTGTTGACTTTTAATAAATAATGTTAACTTTTAAATTTTTTGAGTAATTTTTTAATTTTTTAATTCTTTTTGACCATGCCAAACTTGAGCTTAGTTAAGAATTTTGTTAATACAACCAATTTATTAAATGTGTCCTCCAAACTAAAGTACACTTTTCAAGACTTGAAAAAATACAGTTGAGTTGGACAGGCTAGTGAACTGATGCCCACCCCGAGGAGGAGGAGGAGGAGGAGGAGGAGGAGGAGGAGGAGGAGGAGGAGGAGGAGGAGGAGGAG